GAGCTCAAGGCCAGCCTGGGCTGTGTAGCGAGCTCAAGGGCAGCCTGGGCTGTGTAGCGAGTTCAAGGGCAGCCTGGGCTGTGTAGTGAGTTCAAGGCCAGCCTGGGCTGTGTAGTGAGTTCAAGGGCAGCCTGGGCTATATAGTGAGTTCAAGGCCAATTTGAACCACATCGAGATCCTGTCTCAAAAAAATGGCTATTGTAGCTTTCCATGATAGCCCATGGTATATCTCTTATACGCAGTATGTACTTTCATTTTTGCTTTTATCCTATTTTATTCCTTATTCCGCCAAAGCCTGCTCTTCAGAGCCAGTTTTCTCTCCCACTCTTCACTTTTACTTTTTTTTTTTTTTTAGAACCGGGGATTGAACTCAGGCCCTTGTGCTTGCCAGGGAAGCACGTATTCCACTGAGCCAACTCCCTGGCCCCTACTTTTACTTTCTTGAATAAACTTTGCCACTATTTAAAGAAAAAAAAAAAAAAAGTTAGATTAAAAAAAAAAAAAAAAAACCTGGTCATTTTCTAGGACCTCCTCATTAAAAGATTAGGAGACAGTAGAGTAAGAGGTATCATGCATGAAAATGGCAAGAGCCTTAAAACTGTGGTGCTACTGAGTGGCTTCCCTCCTGCCAGGAAGACAGGCTCAGAGAGTGCCTGTCATCTCCTAGTGTGGGGCAGGGAGGGCCTGGCAGAAAGCTTACCTCTTCTCTTCAGTGTAAAAATAGGCCCTGACCTCTCGTGTGGGGTCAGTGTCCCAGTGCTGACCTGGCCGTTTGTCTGTCTTTGGATGTTGGTTTCTATTTGGAACAGGGTCTCACTATGCAGCTGGGGACTGGTAGTGATCCTCCTGTCTCAGCCTCCCCAGTGCTGGGATTCTAGGCGTGTGCCAGCACGCCTGGACTTGGTGGTGGGCACAGCATGCTGTACCAGGGATCGATCCGAGGCCTTGTGCTTGTCAGGCAGGTGCTTAGACCGCAGAGCTCTCTCTCCAGCCCACGTGCTGGTTTCTTAATTAAGCTTCATGATTCAGAGGTGTGCTCATGGTTTCCGATGAGAGAGTGTATCACAAGCTTCAGATGTTAACACTTCTGTAGGGAGAAGTAAAATGACCTTAGAAACTGCTCTTCCTGCTTGTTGTTAGAGGAGGTGTGTCCAGTGGTGAGGACATAGGAGTGCAGACAGAGGCAAAGGTGAAGACAGTCTGCCTGGAGGGCGAGGAAGGCACCAGGAAGCAGTGTAGCCGTCTGTGAGGCCCTCTGATCCTGTAGGCTTTTTCTTTCATTCCTTTTTCATACTCAAGTTTTGGAAAAAAGAATTTGGTCTCTTCTTTTTTGTGAAGGAAACAGTTTTAAGTGAGAAAGTACTTGTCCTGAGTAGCACAATTTGGGGAGTAGCTGAACTACCTTGGGGGATGCTAAGTGCAGTCTCTGTTTCAGAGCTGCTCCCCAAGCAGGGTGAAGGAGGGCTCATTAGGCCTGTCAGGGGGGATGGCTGAGGTGGACGCTGCCGAGCTGAGGCCTCGGAGCTAGGGTCCTGGGAGAGCTCTGTGTCTCTTGCTCTCTCTGGGTTCTCACTGGAGAGCTCTTCCTTCTGAGCAGTTACGTCATATTGAACCCTTGGATGAAACACAACTTCGGGTCAACTTATTCCAGACTTTCCCGTTGTGCTTCTAGTTGTGTGATTCACCCCTTCCTGTGTGAATGTGTGTCGTCTTGCTGCGTGTGTTGTGCCCCAGGTGCAGCTGGTGACCCTCTGCTCTGCTTCCCACAGCGGCACGATGCTGGGGCAGTCTCCGCTGGGGCAGATCCAGCTGACCATCCGGCACAGCTCGCAGAGGAGCAAGCTCATCGTGGTGGTGCACTCCTGCAGGTGAGCGGCTGCCTCCTGCCGTGGCGCGGCACGAAGGGCTGCGGCCCGCCGACGGCACGCGTGGCTTCTTCAGAGCGCAGAGCAGCTAGACTGCTTCCTGGGACCCTGGAGCCCATGTTCTAGTCCTTTCCTTAATACAAATCTCTCCTCACCTACAGTGTACAGCGAGCAGATAAAATGAGTAGGCTCGTGTGGTGACAGGTTCCGCGTTTGTGTTTGCAGCATTAGTTTCATCCTGTGGCAGTCAGGGTGGGGGGAATCTTTGTCTTGTTGACTTACATTAGAATATTACGTCCTCCCAAAAGAAGTAGCAAACGGAAGAACATCTTTGCTTTTTTTTTTTTGGAGACAAGGTCTCACTGTGTAGTCCAGGGTGGCCTTGAGCTCAGGAGTCCTCCTGCCTCAGCCTTCCAAGTGCTGGGATTATAGGCATGTGCCACCATGCCCAGCATTAATAATGCATTACTGGGTTGTTTTTAATATACAGAGATGTATATAAAACAGCCTCAAGGTATTAGAAAAAATAAAGGTTTCCCAGTCTATATTGAAGCTGGAAAGCCTAACACGAGCTATTCAAATGACTCTTTTTTTTTTTTTTTACACAGGATCTCACTGTGCAGTTCGGACTGGCCTTGAGCTCACTTTGTAGCCCAGACTGGTCTCAGTCTTGCAGTGATCCTCCTGCCTCAGCCTTCCAAGTGCTGGAATTACTAGTGTGGACCTTCACACCTGAGTTCAAATGACTTTTTTAAAAAAGATAACATTAAAGACAATTCTCAAGACAAAAAGAATAAATAAATAAAATAAAGATTGGGGTTAGTGGCAAATGCCTATACTCCCGACACCTGGGAGGCTGAAGCAGGTAGATCATTTTATGAATCTGAGTCCAGCCTGGGCTACAAAATGAGCTCAAGGCCCACCTGAAGTGCAGTGAGAGCCTGTCTCAAAAAGACAAAAGAATAAAGACAGCGCTCAGAAAATCACCAGTCATTCCACCCACTTACAAACACATGCATCTCCCTACGCACACCCATCGACATGTGTGCGCACATTATTCATGTTTTGCATTAGATTCTAGATTCTGATCTTTCTCTGCAGCTCTGTAAAATCCTGTATTTTCCACTTCTAAAGTCTTAGTAAATAACTTACTCCTTTTTTATTCTTAGCATCACTTCATAAACATTTCTATGTATTCACAACCATGTTGATGGCCTTATAACGCTCTCCTGAATTGTATAATGTGATTTAAATATATAATATGCCTTATTGTTGGATATTTATATTATCTGTAATGGTGTAATATGGTGGTGAACTTTTTTTGAAGTTTTTTTTTTTTTTGTTTTTGGCGGAACTGGAGATTAAACTCAGGCCCTTGCACTTCCCAGGGAAGCACTTATTCTACTGAGCCATCTCCCCAGCCTTTTTGAAGTATTTTTAGATTAATTTCCAAAAGTCAGAAAATTTGGATCAAAAAATCCAAAAAGTTTTCAGATTGATTATAGGTATGATACCAGTCTTCAACAGAGAGCGTAGCTCTTGCCGTGTATGCTCCAAGATGTGGCCTTTTCTCCCAGTCACGAGAAATTTAATTAGACTAGTCTGATGTACCAGTTTAGTAAGTCTTAAGTGGGATGACAGTGTTGCTTTGTATCTGATTAAAGGTGATGATGTGGATTATTTTCCTTCTCTGTTTTAGCAATTGTTGACAATATGCTATAAATATTTACAGCTTATAAAAAACCTGTAGGAGACAGACATGGTGGTGCATGCATGTAATCCCAGCACTTGGGAGATTGAGGCAGGAGGTTCACCACAACAAGTTCAAGGTCAGCCTGGTCTACATAGTTGAAGCCCATCCTGAATTACACAATAAGACCCTGTCTCGAAAAAAATAAATAAATTAAATTAAATCCTGTAGAAAACATAGGAAAATAAAATTAGTACGCCTGCTGGGGCCAGTAAGATAGCTCAGGGGTCTCAGGCAAGTGGCGGGGACCTCGGTTCCATCCCCAGCTCCACATGCCATGCCAGCCCCGCCCCCAGGGAGCGCTGAGCGGGCTACATAAATAAATAAAAGTTAAAACACGTGTAAGCATAGAGCTCATCTTAGTGATTGTGGAGCTCCTCCTATGTCCTTGTCCTCGTTGGAGAGGCGGTGCAGTGTCCCCAGCAATACCTGCCCACCAGACCTGGGTCACCAACCAGTGCAGAGCCCAAGTGGTCACAGGGCCACGTGCTGTTCAGCCCACTTCCGTTGCCCTAGGCAGAGAGCAGGGCAGGCTCAGTGGAGGAGGTAGGTCTTGTAGGTCTTGTGCAGGGCTGGATTGGTGACGATGAATAGCCAGGAAGGCATCAGAGGGAACGGGGTGCCACAGGGTGCCTGGGCTGATTTGCTTGGCCAGTCCCTGACTCATGTTTCGTCATTAGGATGAACTAGTAGAAATATGATGGAAATGCCGGCTAGAAGAACAAGGACCTCAAAGGCCCCCCAGACTCTGGACTCAAAATGGAGTCAGGCAGTCTCTTCCGAATATGAAAAAGGCCTCACAGCATTTGGTATCCATAGCCAGGCGTGTGGACAACATTCCTGTAATCCCAGCACTTGGGAGGCTGAGGCAGGAGGATCACTGCAAATGTGAGATCAGCCTGAGCTGCTTAGTGAAACCCTGTCTCCAAAAAAGGACAACAGGGCAAGTGAGATAGCTCAGTGGACTAAGTGTGCAGGGATCAGGGTTTGATCCCAATCCCCGTCCTGCCTGCTGGACCAGCTCTGCCCCAAGGGCACACTGAGCTGACTGAGTCCGGGCATGGTGGCCCACGCCTCTAGTCCCAGCACTGAGGAGGCTGCAAACAGAAGGATCACTACAAGTCCGATCCGCCTAGTGAGACCCTCTACCGAATACATAAATGAAAAAAAAAAAAAAAAAAAACAGCAGCAAAAAGTATTTAGTATCCATTACTCACTGTCCCTTGTACCCCACACTCACACACAGATGCTAGGGGTGGAACCCAAGGCCTCATGTGTGGCAAGTCAGAGCTTGCCACTGAGCTGCACCCCACTGTCTTGTTGCTTCTTGGTGTTTAGACATATGTAAACTCAAAACTCGGTACAGTGAGTTTCAACGCAACCGTGCTCTCTTTCCCAAGTGCTGATACCTAGTCTTTTCTGGTCTGTGTTCAAGAAATCTCATCGCTTTCTCAGAAGATGGCTCTGATCCATATGTCCGCATGTATTTATTGCCAGACAAGAGGAGGTCAGGAAGGAGGAAAACTCATGTATCAAAGAAGACGCTAAACCCCGTGTTTGATCAGAGGTATAACAGATACTCCACTGAGGAGAGACTGTCTGGGTGAAGTGAGCAAGGCCAGGCCGTGCAGCCACCGCTCTGCTGAGAAGCGTAAGGGCTGAGCTTCCAGCGCAGCATAGTGCATGTCCGCTGGTTAAAATAAGTCACCATTTTGAGCTTCTTATGGGATGCTAAACATAATAAATCCAAGTTACAAATACTGTGGATGGGGATCTGTTTCATAGTAATATAATATCTCAAATATAGACTCGTATCAAATATAACTTGTGGAAAATCGAATTGTAACACCACATTTTGCAACTGCCTTGAGTATGCCAGCTTAGTGGAGGCTGACACTGCCTGTGTGTCAGTAGAATGGGTCGGATCTCCTCAGGCCATGTCTGTCCACGAGTTGTCCCCGTTGGCAGCATTTTGCAAATAGTAATCAGTGTTTGTTGGTTCAGCTCTGTCTTCCATAGAGGTGCTGCTCCTTTCTGTAGTTCCACACCAGTGCCTCTAAGTTAAAGAGCAAACTGCTGCCCTACATACCGTGAAAGGAGAGGCCGACTTAACCAGGAAAAAGCCCATGTAGTCTTTGAAATGATCTCATAGGCAGAGATGCCATTTTTAGTTAAAAGAAGATACAGTATAGGGGAACTACAGAAAAAGTTCCTTGCTCCCTTGCAGCTTTGATTTCAACGTGTCACTCCCTGAAGTGCAGAGGAGGACGCTGGATGTTGCCGTGAAGAACAGTGGCGGCTTCCTGTCCAAAGACAAAGGGCTGCTTGGCAAAGTAAGTGTACAGAAATCCTCACCCACTCCTGCACTGTGCACAACTCAAGCCCTTCTCCAAGGTGCACACAGCAGCACTAGCAGAAAGGATGCACGCTTACCCTGTCCTTAGTCTTCCTTTGTAAAATAATGTGCTAAGATTTGTTCACTCTGAAGTTGTTCTCATTGATTTTATGTTTTCATATTATTAGCTTATTAATCACATTGATGCCAGGAACTTTTAGTTGAAAAAAGGTTGATTTTTGAGCTTTTACATTTTTGTTCAACACCACATTATAGAAGACATGAAGGAAAAAAATCTCCCCGCCCTGTTATGCTCCTCTCTGCGTCAGGTCCTCAGCTTGCCTCTATGAGTGTTCACCATCAACTTTTTATTTACTTACTTGTTTTTAATTTTCACCATTAACTTTTGAGTAAGATTATGTCTTCCTCAGCTGTGCACACCTGTGTCAAGCCAGAGAAGAGTGCTGCTCTGTAGACCTGTGTTTGTTGTTAGCAGCACCGGGAGCAGTCTCAGCAGTGCAGACCTTGGCGGTGTCAAGCAGTGTCCAGGGGCTGTCCCCTCAAATGTTTCATGGCAACTTAATTTTACAGCTGCTGGCGACAGGCAGGATCTGTTGGTTATAATCAGGCGTGAGCTACTACAAATGACCCATAAAGGTCGAAAAGAATAAAAACTGAGTCTCAGTAGAAAGGGACAGAGCTCCGTGTTGCGAAGTTAAAACAGGAGACAGACGGACATAATAAGGCCAAAAGGAGCTGCTTGGCCCGCTGCCATGAGCCCCTCTCTCCCCAGGTGCTGGTGGCTTTGGCATCTGAAGAACTTGCTAAGGGCTGGACCCAGTGGTGAGTGCATGTTCCAGGGCGTGCTGGCGCCAGGCTTGGAGGGGGGGTCCAGTGCTGCGCTGTGAGACTCAGCCCTCTGCCCTGCCCTCTGTGCTTCCTCAGGTATGACCTCACAGAGGACGGGACGCGACCCCAGGTGGTGACGTAGCCATGCAGGATGCGAGTTTCCCTCAGCGACCACCCTGCCCACCTTCACTGGGACACATCCTCTTTGCAGATGTACCAATGTTATTTTTATAATTTTGTGTATTTAGTCATATATATACCTTAATAATTTTATAAAAACTCTTGGAATTTTAGCCAAACTCAGCCAATATTATTGTTCTTTTTACGTTGAATTCCTCCAGGCGTGGCGAGCCCCTGTGTTGTGCAGTGGGGTGTGGCCAGCTGTGCCCGCTGGAGGCTTATGCCTGGGCTCCCAGCATTGCTGCCTTGTTTGTATAGCGCTGTGGGGCACCACGCGCGACATGTAAATAGACTAATTTTTTATAATCTCTCCATGCTAGTTTGGTCTCAGAAGAAAATGGATCAAGAAAATACATATTTTCTTCTAAAACTTACTGAATTCTTGGCAAATACTCATTTTCATCTTTGCAACAAAACATTCTCAGCAATATATTTTGTGGTGTTTCTTTTTAAAAGAAAAAAATAGAAAGATTAGTAAACATTAGTATGTTTCTACCCGTTAGGTGAAGTATTCAAACTATGAACATCTTCATAAATGTAAAGTGTATTGTTTAGAACTCAAGTAAAGGGCTTACAAGGACACATGCTGTGTATAACTGAGTAATATAAAATGTCCAGAGAATTGTCATGGTTCATAACGCCTGTGTATGGATCTAGAATTTTTACATAAAAAGAAGTGTCTTGAGTTGATTTCAGCTGCTTGTTGGACTGGCTAGGAAGTAGTGAGAGATGCACTGTGATGTTTGCAAAGACAGGGACAACCCTGGCGTGTGAGTAGGTAAGCAGTTGTCGCAGGCGGTCCAACCTGCTTGCTTCTCAGTGTTTCCCAGCCTGTGACCACCCTGTGGGTGTGCACTGTCCTTGTGGGGTGGTGAGGTCATGATGGCGAGGTGAATAGGGAGGCCATGTGCTACACACTGGCCGCAGTTCACTCACAGGTCATGTGAGCGTTGCCCCCTACACACATGAAGCCACACACTGCTGCTGCAGCGGGCCGCTGGGCCTGGCTGCACACTGCGTACTATGGCGCCTGCTGGTCCTCACTGCGTATCATGCTTCCTCATTTCATGCCATGACTGACCTGTTATCAGGGTGATGTCACACAGTTTTCATTTTGTTGTCTTCTTTGCTTTTTAGATTATTAAAAGCATGTTTTATATATATGAACATCCCCAGAACCTCTTATGAGGTGAGGCTATGTAGCAGTGTTATAAGCTATGCATGCCTGTAAGTAAAGTATGCACAGAAAGAGGCTGCATTGTGCTTTTTAAGCTGCAGTATGAGATGGGGCTTCCTGAGCCGTAAGAACCTGTGTGACACATCAACAGTATGGAGAGCTACAGCTCTGCGACTGGAGCGAGGGTGAGCAGCCCCTGTAACCAGAAGTAGCAGAGTGCCTGTGGCGAGCACTGGTGTGACCACCAATGCTCCTTCCATCAAGCGCATTGCGTCTCATGACTGCTGTGTGCCGTGCACTTCTTTATAATGACGTCTGTAGCTTCGCAGCACATTACACATACGCACAAGGACCAGTGTAATCGCTCTGTCCCCTTTGCAGGCACTTCTCTCAAGCCTCTCTCTAGTCATTTCCAGTCAGGGTACAAGATTGTTTCTTTCTGCGAAGAGTTTATGAATGTGCCATGCACACGTGAACGAATATACACATAAAATATTTAGCTATGCCATTTTAGTAGCAGGAGAAATAGTATCTTAAATCAAGGTGTTTATTCATGATATTAGCTTTTTTTATTTCTAAACAAAAATAGGCCTATTGGGGCCAGGGAGATGGCTCAGTAGAATAAGCGCTTGCCTGGCAAGCGAAAGGGCCTGTGTTCAATCCCTGGTTCCACCAAAAAAAAAAAAAAAAAAAAAAAGGTCTATTGAATTGCTTCCCCCGAGTCTATAAAAGAAAAGAAACACTCATTGAAATTTCATCTCCAGTGCCCTGCACATCTCGGGTTGGCACCCAGGCGCACGGTCTGCTCAGTGCATACTTTACACACTGCAGTGCTTTAGAAGTTACACAGGCTTGGGGATGCAGGTCAGGGTGAGAGGCCCAGGAAGCAGCTGAGCGCACAGTGAACTAGCCTTGGGCAGTGAGGCCAGCAGATCGTCGCTAAGGTAAGGGTCCAGGCACAAGGTCCCCACCTGCGGGCTGGCAGTCCTCTGTAGCCATCTCCACACTCTCATAAAAGAAGAGAGGAAAAGGCTGGTCTACCTGAACTGTTTGGGGAAGACTGCGTGTTATCCTCAAGGTGTGCTCAGCATTCCAGGGGTGCGGGTACAGAAGATGCCTTGTTCTGTTCTCAAAATGTAACTTTTAGTTTTAATAATGTTTTGTCTAGGACAAGGAAGCTTACATTTCTACTTTGAGCCAAAACAAAGAGGGAAAATTATTTTAGGTGAATTTGAAGTGACGCTCTGTTAGCTTACACAGGTGGGTTTATCCTGTGCCTTACAGTCCAAAGATAGCATTTTCAGATTTCAGACTGAAACAGAAGCAGCCTTGTGACTGTCTTTCCTACCACTCCCTGGTACTCTCTGGTCAGTCCTGTCCAGAATGCAGACAGCGCGGACAGTGTGCGTTTGGTCCTGTTGCCGTGTGTGCTCCAGCAGAGCCACTTGCCCACCACAGAGCAGGGCAGCAGAGCAGTTTTTTCCCGGAGTGTCCTTTTGCTTAACTCACTTTACATGAAAGTGCATGTATTTATTCAATAAAACTTCTGTATGAGTTAACCTGTGATGCGTTTTTCTTTTTTTCTTTTGAAATGAAAGTTTCATATGAGACCAAATACTTGGTTTGGAAAGTTGACCTCGGATGCGGTGTGTATCTACAATCTGTGAACGCTTTTAAAAAAATTTTTTTTAACATTTATTTATTTTGTGTGTGTGTGTGTGTGTGTGTGTGGCCAGCTCAGCCCACCAGGGGGGCGGGGCTGGCTGGCATGTGGTGCTGGGGGATTGAACCGCGGTCCCTGTGCTTTGCCAAGCTTGTTCCAAGTAGGTGCTTTAGACCACTGAGCCATCTCTCCAGCCCCATCTGTGAACACTTTTGATTGCAGTTCACACGCTGCCTTCGCTCTTGCTCCCTACGGAGTTTGACTCCCCTGCCTAGCTTTACAGACTTTGGGTTTTGAAAGCAGCTCCTCTCTAGGGCAGTGATGAGCAAGAAAAGGGGTTCTGGATACGTGCACATGTGAGCAGAGTACAACCAGCCCTGCGCGGAGGCTGGGCCTGAAGAGGGAGCCCATGAGGGCAGTGATGCTGGGGCGTTATGCTGCGGGCCCCGTGCTCGTGATGGAAACTTTGCAGCATGTGGAGCTGCCTCTTCACTCATACCTCAAAGCCAGCCTTTATGCCTTCCCCTTTCTCTTTTGTGGCGAAGGGACTGGAACCCAGGACCTGCACATGCCAGGCAAGTGCTCTGCTGTGGAGTTACATCCCAGCACTTCTAAAATACTCCATGCGTGTTATTGGCCATTTCTCAGGAACATCTTGTATTGGCTTTCCTTCTCCCCAGACTAACTACTGGAATAATGCCCTGTTTCTGTTCCTTTTTATCCAGGTTCTTCGCCCATTGCTACGCCATGGTTGCAGAAGTTCTCACTTGAACACACCCTCCTCAGAGCTCCAGGCCTCTAGGACACCTGTTTGCTTGGGGTATGTTACCAGTCAGAGCTGAATGAAAGGACGACGATGAGAAGGCCGGGTCAATAAAGGCAGAGGACTCCTGAGCTCAATCTCACTCTGAGTCCCAAACCACCGAGAAACTTGTTTTTGAGGGCTAAAAACAGGCTAAGGAATGTACATGACTAATTTGGTATAAACAAACTGCTATTTACATCCCCTTCCGGCATTCACCAAACTGTAAATTTACATATCGCTAGTTGGTAATGTCCCAGGTAAAGGAACAAAGAGCAGACAGGGTGCCTCCAGGAATCTGTTGTCCCCTGCACCCCAGCTTGCTGAACTCCACACGAGGACACATTTTGCTAGGCTCGGCTCTTTGTTCCTTGCTCCCTGGGGACAGTAGGCTTCTGGGTTATATCACTACACTTCCCTATTTCTGTTTATTGCTGAATTTTTATGAAGTATCAGAGTGAGGACTTTGGATTGTTGATCCATGGCTTGTTGGCAGGCTTGTCCCTGTCACCAGACTAGGCAAGATATACGCACAGTACAGAGACAACAAATGATTATTATGTTCGCGCTAAACCATGAAATAGCATCAAAAGGATTAAGATTTTCAGTTCTATTAGAAGTGCCTTGTAACAGATAAGTACCAGACAATTCTGACTGTTGTTTTGCAGAAGTATTATCAGTATGTTGTTGAAGAGACAGGCTATCAGAGACAGTATTGCCACAATACAATACTCGTGCTTTTACATTTTCCCATGGGAAATTAGTTTGATTTCATGGAGTTGGAGTTACACAGAATGAGGAGATATTCCAATTGTATTTTAAACAAAGCTGACACTGCAGATTAACAAGTTGATCTCCTTGCATAACAACAGCTTGTTCTAAATCATCTATCTTAGTATTAACTGAATCTGTGTGTTTTTGTCATGAGTCCGTGTGCCCCTGCAGCACAAAGTGAACAGTTTGTGCATCCTGGCTCAGTGCTACTCCAGCTGTAGCAGCTGTGGCTGTGGCTATTATTCTTAAAATCGTGGTTAGTAAGAGTCCAGTTATTCTTTTGTTCTCTTCTTTAGTTCCTCCAGAAAAGTTGGCGCAGCATCACGGAGGAGAGTCTTGCCACAGGCGTTGCAGTTGTACAGGAAGCCAAATTCCAGTCCTTGCCTTAAGAATGTAAATGTTGGGGGCTGGAGAGATGGCTCAGTGGTCTAAAGCACCTACTTGGAACAAGCTTGGCAAAAGCACAGGGACGGCGGTTCAATCCTCCAGCACCACATGCCAGCCAGCCCCACCCCCTGGTGGGCTGAGCTGGCCACACACACACACACACACAAATAAATGCAAAATAAATGAATAAAAAATTTAAAAAAAAAAAAAAAGAATGTAAATGTCATCCCAGAAAAGTTAGGGCTGATAGATGAATTTAGACACGTATATAAAGAGCAATGTGACAGGTAGTAGTATAATTAGCAGGGTTCCAGTAAAGCAACAGGTAAGGGAGGCGAACACATGCCTGTGCAAGCTGTGCGGTATTCTTTTAAATTTTAGATATAAATTATAGGAGGATAGATTCCTCCGTATATAACCTTTCCATGCTGACATATGCTGTAAAGAGGTAGCTAGCTTCCAAAGATGATGTTGAATTGGTCCCCAGGAACATGAGGAGCACTAGGGAACATCCCTCCTCCATGCCACTTTACTGTATTACTGGCATTTTTAGTGCTAGTATAAATCTCAT